GGAGCATTGCGGAATGCTACCTTCTGAACATGACATGGCTGGTGCACACATCGATTCATATCAGTAATGGTTACCTGTATAAGACCTGAACAAGAGCAAACCAGTAAAAATTCCAGCATGGACGAGGAGGGATTGCTTAGGCTCCATCCCTACCAAAGGATATGCCTATTGGTAAGTAGTCTGTGCCCCAGTGGATGGCTCTACATCCTTTCACATGTGTTTAGCACTAACTGAACTCAGAGAACTACTAATATAATTTATTAATATAATAATACATTTTTTAAAAAGACATGAAGTCAAAAAGGAGTTAGGATGGTAGTTCCCACAGAAAGTTGGAGAGAGGTGGTGGGCAGGAAGTGGATAAATATAAATATATTATATATGTAAAATTTACAAAGAATAAAAACATGTTTTAAATCCAAAATGTAAAAAATTTAAATAATAATCTTTAAAAAGACTTTTGTACTTATTACACACTTGCTAGGTGCCCACCCCAAATCTCTGCACAGTTGACTTGTTCCAAACTTCAGCTCAAGATTCTCATCTCCAGCTAGCTCTTCCTTCTGTGCTGCTGTTCTCCTCACTGGATTTCCCCACTGTTTGAACTGTCTTACTCTGAGACCGTGTGCTGTGTAAATTCCATTCAAACAGAGATCTGATATTATTACAAGGTAGTCTTGGTATCTGGAACCGAGTGGACACTCCAAACGCCCTTACCAGTGATGATGCAGATGACAGCTCTTTAAATTATATTTTAAAGCAAAACAAAAAAAATGTACTGGAAGGAGAACACAGAACAACATACACCTCTCTACTCATTTATTTGATACAAGTTGCTACATATAAATATCTTCACAACATAACCCCCAATAAACAAATCTGTGTATTTTCAGGACATTTACTAGCAATACCTAGGCTCACATATCCTTTCCGCACTTGGAAATTGTATGGGAAATAACCACATATGAGAATAGATACTGTCACTGCAAGCTATCACAAAGATGTTCCTTTACACTGACATACAAAAGGATGGTGCCCTATACATTTTAACATGGAGAAATTATGTAGCTACATTGCTTATTGACAGCACAAGGCCAATGAGAACAATAATACATGTCACGGAATGGTGCCAATGTTCCTGTGTCAAAATGTATCAGTACCCTAAAGCCGTGACAAAAACAGAGTACTTAAAGTGAAAAGCACTTTTTATGTGTACTAGCTTTTCAACCATCAAAAAAAAAAAAGTCACCAATTGCTATAAGATATGAAATTTAAAAACAGATGTTCTGGTTTCTGTAATTCTTTAAAATCTGTCCAAATGCTTTATATTGCATTAGCCTGTGAATCCCTCCCCTGAAGTCTCAATCCTCCTTCTGTGCTTGGATTGTTATGCATTGTTTACTTGTTGGAAACGGTGTGGCATTTTATTTCGTTGAATTTCTACTTCAAAATAATCAGAATTCTAGCATGTAACTTGTTTTCTAGTCAAGTGATGAAGACTGGCAGAATTTCATTGTTTTTTCTACCTTGGCTTAGAGAAAGCCACCTCTCAGGTTTTCATATTTCCCAGTGAAACTCTTTTGAACTCAGTAGACAAAATGCTCTCAGGTATTTGACGACCATTGTGGAAACTAAATTACAGAAATGGAAGGGGTCCTAACACATGTGTTGTGGTTAGCACACTCATTCTTAGCTTTTGTTTCACTGCAGTATTTTATGAGACTCAGCTGATGGTAAGTGAGAAAACTACAAACAAACAGCAGAAGCAAGAAAGATCCACAGACGAGAACTGCAAATTCAGGTCTCTGCGTCATGCTCTTTTGGACTTCATATTTAATGAAATAATTAGAATTTTACTTCAGTTACAGTCTTCCTATTACAACACACACACACACACACACACACACACACACACACACACACCCCTCACATGTTTGCAGATCTGGCAGGAACCTAAAACTCTCCATTGTTTTTCTTTACAAAAAAAAAAAAAAAACAGAACCTGACTGGTGACCTGATCTGCGGCCTAGGTCATCATAGGTCTGAGGTTACAGTTGCCACATTGTTGAATCTATCTGTGAGGAGGGAACACAAAGAGAGTTTCCACATGCAGCTGCTATTTCCCATTTGTTAAATCCTTTTATTGCACCATCTAAGTACACAGCTGGGAACTGCTATAGAGTGGGAGGTAAACAAATCTTTTGGCTTCCCAGCATTCAGAGAACACAAAAGCTCTAGGAGAAAGCAGAGTGAAAGTTTGGAAACATTTCTATGAGAATTGTCTCTCACACTCATCTATAACATGCTTGCAACCTTAAGCTATTTTATACTACCATAAATCACATGTAACAGAAGTTATTACATATACATTAGTATCTTTTTTGACAAATTATGCATAACCAAAAGTTTCAGACTAACTCAGCAAAGCAACTTGCCAAAAATAAAGTTTTTCTGGTAAAAATAAGGAAAGTGCCCTCTGAGGAAACAACTTGAACTCTATTGTCCCTGCCTCTACCCATACGTTTTCCATTCCAGTTACTTTTGTCAGGTCTGCAGATGGCATAAAAGCAAAGCTATCTTGAACCAATCCCTCTCTGTGTCCCCTCTTTGTCTACACTAATCCAAGCTACTGCAATCTTTCATCTAGATTTCTGAACTAGAAATCCCAGTGGCTCCCCCTGCTTTCACTCTTGACGCCTGCCCGTCCATTCACTGTGCTACAGTTGGAATTATCTGTGAGAAATGTTCTTCAGCCCTTCAAAGGCTGTTCCCACTGCACTCAGATGAAATCTCCCCGCCACAATGCCATCTCCAAGGCCTGTATGATATAGGCCCTATCTGTTTTTCCAACCACTTCTGATGCATCTTCATTCATTATCCTCTGATCACAAAGACCGTCTTGCATTTCCTTAAATTAATTTATGGTTTTATCACCTCAGACACTCCACATGCACTTCCCTCTCAATGGATTTCCTCTGCCCTGCTCTGACTACTTCCTGTCATCCTTAGCTTGGAGAGGGCATCCTCGTCATCTATTCAAAGTTAGGCTCGCTTCACTGTGCTTTCAGACAACATCCTGATCTTCACAGCACAGTCACAGTGTTAACTATGTATGTGTTAGCATATCTATCCCTGTTCAACAACACAAACTTCAGGATGGCATGCATCACATCTGCTTCACCATAATACAAATGTAGTTAGTAGAAAATCTGGCATCCAGAAGGTACCCAGTAAATATTTGTTCAAATAAAGACGACGCAGAGTCTTATTGTCCTGCTGAGGAGCAATGAGCAGAGACTGACTGTCCATCTCGGCCGTGCCACCTTGGAGACAAGGAATGAACAAATTCAATCAGAAAATATATTTCATCCTTGACTCATATATTTGCTTTCCCCTTCTCTTGGAAGGTAAATTTCTAGCCAGAAAATTGTACACTGTTGATTCTTAACAAGCCAATGATAATGGCACTGGAATTTGATTCTACTACATGTTCTGGCTTTGTGGGAGCCTAATCTATTTGGATGCACACCTTCCTAGACCTGGATGGAGGGGAGAGAGCCTTGGACTTCCCACAGGGCAGGGTACCCTGACTTCTCTAAGGACTGGACAGGGAGGGGGAGAAGTGGGAGGGAAATGGGAGGAGGGGAGGAGGTGGAAATTTTTAATAAATAAAAAAAAAGAAAAACAAATGATGTCATTTGGGAAAATCTGGAGATTATCATTTTAAGTGAAATAAGTCAAATGCACAAAGACAAGTATCTCCACCACATGTGACATTTAAGCCGAGTATGGAGGGAGAGGGGAACATTGACCAAAAAGGACTATTAGGAATGTAGAAGAGCAGAGAAAGACGGTGCTTAAGAAATGATAGTAGAGCAGGAAACAAAAACAAAAATTCTATATGCATGTATGGAAATGTCAATGAAATTTGTTAATCTGTATAACTGAGATGTGTTAACAAATAAATAAAAGTCTTTGGATCCTGGAATAAAACTAAAATTATTCAAAACTTGCTTCATTCATCTTTTGATCCCCACCCCCTTTCCTCATACTGCTCCAGAGCATAGGCTGTGTCTACAAAAATCATGTGAAAATAAAACTTTCTCCCTATACAATCATCCATCTCCATATGCGCATCAGTTAGTAAGGCATTTTGAACGATATATTGTTTTTTGTTAAGGAATAAAACTCTCATTGTCTACTTAAGATTTTTTTTTTCATTAACTTAATTTTTGGTTACCCACAAGTTAAGAAATACAAGCCAGGGTTGAAACTTCTAATTTAATAAAATAAATTAAGGTTCTAGTTTCTTCTAGTTGATAAAAAATAAAAGGTTTTATTTGGAATAGGTAATTAAGTCACTCGTAAGGTTTCTATTTTGATGGTTAAAAGACAAAATTTACCATGGGAAAGCTTCCTACTCTCCTCACAACCTGATATTTCATTTCTGCTTATAGAGGAAGCCTAACAGTCTGAATAGTTACCCAGGAGCCTTGCTTGTTCCTTTGAAATTAATATATAAGTACAGGAGGAAAATCTTTATTATAAATCAAAACTTGTCATTAAAAATGATAGATTCCAATATTGTCTTACTGTAGATGTAGTCATGCTAGGATCTCATTCAAACAGATATATTTGCTTAACTTAATTTATCAATATTAATACACAACCGCACTTCATTTTACTACCTATTTATGACATTACTAAATTCATCACATTAAACTGGAATAGAAAAATAAGATAACTGACTTTTTTTAAAAAAAAAAGTAAATCAATACTCTTTTGTCAAGGAGACCTAATGGTGGGACATAGCCTAGATCACAAACTGCTTTCCCAGTTTTCCCAGTTACTAAAATAGTAACAACTGTATGTCTCATGTTTGTTTTGTGGCCTGAGCAGGAATAACAGTGGAGCCATGTATTTTAACTTTCCTCCGAACACCTTCTAATAAGGAGGATGCAGACATAGTCGGTAGCAGTCGCCAGACTTTCAGTGCTCACCATTCTTTGCTGAGATGACAGAACGCTGTCCCAGTCAGCATCTTGTTGAATGGTACTGACAAGCGTTGGTAGCTCCTCAGAGTGAGGTTTGTTGTGCATTATGGGGTGCAGAGGCAGATGGGAGGCCACATGTTGGTCACTGCCCTCTTCCTTTTCCCTTGAGGTCAAATCCTGGGTCATTATTTCCTCTCCATCAGTTGTACAGGCAAATGGAGAGGTGGCTTGCTTGGAAGACATTCTTCTGCAGAAGAAGGGAAACACCATGGATTAAAGAGGACTCTCAACAACAAAAGTAGATGTCATTCATTGTATTTGACTAATTTGAGCATAAAATAAATAAAAATCCTTGAAACTGAGAGACAGAGTGTAAACCACAGACAAAGGGTGGATTGCTTATCTGTTCTATGCCTCCTCTTTGCTTCCACTCTCTAACCATCTTCCCGCTAACTGCTGCACATAATCCCCAAATAAGATCTTTCTAAGTTTTCGTGATGTACAATATATGTATTTGTATGCCCTTCCTCCTAGTTTTCCCAACTAGACTATGAGTTTCTGGAGAGTGATTAGATTGGTGGTTAGCAATGAAAGTAACAAGGGAATGAACTGATTGATGAGCCAGTTTGAAGAAAGACTTCAGAGTAAAAACATCTAACTTTCTCCCAAAGCTCTGAAGAATAGAAATAAGCCTAAGTAGAAAACAGAAACTGAGTAAATAATTTGTCTTTAATATGCTAAGCAATTTGGCCATGATTTCCTAGCTTACATCTTGATTGTGAATGCCAGACCTTACACCAATGTGAAGCTTTTCTGAAGGCCTCCAAGATACAGTAAGTATTGCTTGTTAACTTTTAAGTGACATGTTAACTGAGTGACTTCTAGAGTTAGATAAATGTTTTTTTTTTTTTTTTTTTTTTTTTGGTTCTTCCAGACAGGGTTTCTCTGTGGTTTTGGAGCCTGTCCTGGAACTAGCTCTTGTAGACCAGGCTGGTCTCGAACTCACAGAGATCCACCTGCCTCTGCCTGAGTTAGATAAATCTTATAACAACTTTGTGACATTTGACTTGAGTTTTTGAAGTAATTATACCTCTGTTTTATGACTGGAAGTAGATACATGATTTATAGCATTTACTATGAAAAAATTAAATGCTTACTGTGCATACCAAAAGCTCGTAAACCAGAATCATTTGTTGAAGTCTCCACAAAGAAACAATCAAGAGACTGTGTGATGAGACCTTCATTTTGTACTTTATATGAGATCAGAAACTGTGATGTTATACGAAATTACAAAACTTTGAAACATCACTTTAGAAAGATCAATATCTTGGGGAAGTGGTTAGTGACCAAACCACTAAAAGTTTACAAATTTAGGGAAGAAACCATTTTTCCCCTAAAACTTCAGGTTGACTTTCATTTATTGTATTTCCTTTGAAACTGCTGTGTAATGACGGGAATACAATCGCCACCTTAATTGCTCTTTAACATTAATTGATTTCATACCATTTTTAAATGCACAAATCAGTTAACATAGGGAACCACATGAGCATTTTTCAAATTAGCAAATCATTAACTTGCCTGTACTGTTTCTACAGACAAATAAATACTGATTAAAGGGTCTAGAAATCTGAGATTAACAGTTAAATTTACAAATCTGTCACATGCTTTCATGAATATTGCAGTGAAGGAAATATCAAGTGCAAGGAAAAATAATTAAGTTAATTCCAATTTAAACAGTAGTTTTTATGTAGCAGCCCATGTTTCACATAGGATTTAACAGCTAATGCTAAATTTCTCACAATTAATGAGGGGGCTCAGAGTTAGTATCCTACAGTGAAAAACATTAATAGAGGATCAGCTAATCTAATTATGCACAGTTCTAAATAAAAGTATTACAGGCTTTTGAAGTGCTTTGAAACATATTAAAATGCTGATACCTACTTATAATAATCATTGTACAAATACTAAAACTTTCATCTATTTAGATGAGACTGAAAAATAAAATAGGGAAAGTGTGCAGAAGAATAGCTCTATTTTCCCTAAAAAGAGAAACAATGTTCTAGAGAGTACTGTCTCAAAGACTCAGACACATCCTTGAGTGACTTTTCTTGGTACTGACAAATGGACACATACATGTACACACGGAAAATCATAACCAGAGGATGGATTTTAGTATTGAAAGTCACTACAGAACCCACTGTAATGGCCCCAGAAATACTCCAGCAAAACCAGGCAATTACAACTGTCCTGCAAGTTATCAAGGGTGATCACAGACAGCAGGAGTGTTTTCATTGTTCAGATAATGGGCAGTTAGTGTTAAAGTAATCACACACAATAAAAACAAATTAATGAGTATACCGCCACCTTTTAAAAACAGTTAAATACAAGTGAAAGTCATAACCCAAAACTCAGAGTGACTTTGGTTCTCCCAACAAATAACTCTTATTACAAAGTTATCTGGTGCCTTCCAACAGCAGTATCTGTGATTAATGCTTAAGTAAAAATTAATTAGGATACAAAACCCAAAAGTGCAAACAGTCTCTTAAAGAATCATTTTGATGACAGACTATACTGGTTAACAATAGTGTACGATCCTAATTAAACAGCCCTGCAGCTGTAAAAATAGATTCAATCTGTCCAAAGCTATGAGTTGAGTTTAAAGGCTGGTTGGTGAGAGTGTTTTTCTTAAGGAAGGCTGGGTCTTCAGTCTTAATCAACCAATAAATTATTTCCTGCAATTACATTAAATAGAAAATTATCTTCAAATGGGGAGTGTTAATTGAAAATCAAAATTCAGAGGGAAGTTTAGAAATTACACGCTGAATACAATTAGTGGGGAAGGCTTCACCTCTCCTTCATCAGCAGTCTTCTGGTGAGCCCTCCAGTGACCCATCAGAGCCTATTTACACCGGCACACAAGCTGTCTTTTCTTTTACACCCACAAACACAAATGTGTATCGAGGTTGTAAATACCAGATAGGCTGCCAATATATCAAAGCCGACTGTTCATCCTCAGCTCACACCACAACTGGGACAGAAGAGTAGGGGAGGTAGGAGGACCAGGTAAGGAAGGCACGCCTGGCTCCCCAGCCCATCCCTTTGTAACGAGGTCAACATGCTGTGTCCCAAGAGCACTTTTCAGATCATACTTTACTTCCCCGCTGTGCTTGTTTTATTAGCATTCTTAACTATGTTGTACACAGAGGAAAAGAAGACTCTTGTTCTCTCACCAAGGTATTTCCTTTTGATAAAAATGTTGGACTCTTTCAGTTTGTTCTCAACAGTAGCTTTGTCATTGTATCGTATTATTCAAGGTCAGTAGTTCTCAGCCTTAAACAATTCCTCATGTTGTGGCAACCCTCAACCATAAAATTATTTTGTATCTAGCTCATAACTGTAATTTGTTATTGTTATGTATCATAATGTAAATGTCTAATATGCAGGGTATCTTATATATGACCCCTATAGGGGTTGCAGCCTACAGGCTGAGAATCACTGTTCTAAGAGGTGCTTTTGTTTGTTTGTTTTATAGGGAAATGCACACGACTCACTTTTAACACATATTTTTTTTTAAATATTACGATCATTGTGTGTGTGCCAAGCATGCATGTGTGAAGGACAGACAACAACTTACAGGAGTCAGTTCTCTCCTTCCTCCATACAGATCCTAGGGACAGGACTCGAGTTGTCATTGCTTTTAGCTGCAAGCACCTTTATCTGCTGAGCCAGCTTGCTATCATGTAGTTTAGAAAATAAATCATAGATTTACTACTATCGGATCTGGTTTGCTAATTTTTATATGTAAATCGTTATACAATCTTTCAATTTAACTGATACATCCTCATTCGTTTCCTTTCTTTAGTATTACCCTTTTTCTGTTCTTTTTAACATTGGGTGAGGGAATGGAGGGGGAGGTGCAAGCATGCACTTGCCAAGCAGTGCATGTGGAGGTCAGAGGACAACTTTCAGGAGTGAGCTCTGCTCTAGGAACTGAACTCACATCAGGCTTGCACGGCAGGCTCTTGTAAGTAACCTCACTTTGGCACTCTTGCTAGCCCTAGAATTTCCCTTCTGCACATTTTCCTAGAGTAATTGGACTGCACTCTAGAAAGCACAGACACTAGGCTCTGGTGAAACCCTTACTCCAATCACTGTACCCACGTCACCTGCTTTAGGAATCCATGAATCAAATACACCTTGTTAATTGAGATTTTCCAGCTTTGCGTGCAATTCTTGCACTTATTTTGAATGCACACATGAATGATACTATGCATCACAAAAATGTTCCCACCTACTCCATCCCTCTGTACATCAGCTAGCACCTTACCTACCTATGTCCCACACAACTAATGAGCAAAAAAAAAAAAAAAAAATTAAAATCCTTGTGAAAATAGTCAATTTCTATGTGACTTTACTTTGTTTTATTTTTGCTCTATTATAACTTAAAAATCATTCAAATGAATTGTTTTTTTAATTTGTATTAAAAAAAATATCTTCCTAGTTAGAGCCCCTGAAAACAGGGGTTTATAATGGAAGTGCTGACACAACCCTACTAAAGCAGCGCAAATGTTGCCGCTATAATACACAAAATCAAGTTCTATTATTCTCAACTCTCCTCGCTCATGGGATTTTTCTTTGCTGTGCTCCCAGCCAAACTGCTGAAGCATGAAAAATTTAAATGCAATCAAATGTGCCCAATTCTACTTTACTAGAACAAGTGTCTACAGTGGTACAATCTTAAAAGGAAATGCAACAGATTTGTTTGGTGTTTTTTTTAACTGTTTATTTATAATACAGTGCATTGGAGATCAAATAAAAGAGGAAATTACACTCACATGGTACCAGTGTATTGACTACACAGAGCACATTATAATCAGAGAGGAAAACTACATTGTCAACTTATCACACTGGTTAAACAAGATGGTTTTCTGGGGCATAGCTATTATCAAGGAAAACCTCCAAAAAGAATTGTATTGTATGTCTTTGAGACATGTAAAACTCAGTTCCCATCATATGTTCCCTACACTCAAACTGTCTCTGCCCAACAGATCAGGTGAATTCTCTGAATGCTAGACCACTGGAAATAACTTCCAGTTTGAGATTTGGGGGAACAAGATGGATAGAGATAAGCCTCCATAATTAATAATGCCCTCCAGGATGCGAGCAGGAACAGGTCCATCTCTATAAAAGTAAGAACCCTCCACTCCAGCCCTACAGCCAGGTAGGAATGCTTAAGGCATTACAAAG